ACTTTTTTCCCGGATATATATCACATATATATACTCTGTTAATGGCATTTGTTGTGCTATAGTTCCGAAAAATGAGTCAATAATACCGTCTCCGAGAAAGAACTGCAAGTCCTTTTATCTTCCATTCGACTTCGCGGTTTCGTATATTACTAAACAACTACTGAATTCGCAATTTTTCAAAATCAAATCACAGAATTGAACTGACAGAAGTGACATCAGATATTTGATTACTTCAAAAGAATGATAAAGATGTCTATAAAACGCAGGTGTCCCTACTGTTGAAAACTTGAAATTTCACGTCGATAATTTTCAGATTTCGAAATAATGTAATATCTTCTCAATATTGATTCGTCCTTCCTTCTGTCACAGAAAAAAATAGTGTATTATACACGGGAAAAATATTAGATTTTAGCTCACGGTTTTTTGTCTCCCTCCGCTACGCGTCGGGAGACAACACAACCTGGAGCTAAAATCTACTACTTTTTCCCCTTGTATAATAAATAACTATACAACGTGTTTCAGCTATCATAGATCGAGTTAATATGAATAATAAATAAGTCTATTGGAAAAAATCTTCAGCAGGGTCGCATTTCAATAATGAGATACGTTTTTTTCGAATTTCATGTTCTCGAATTTCATGTTCACCCTTTGCATAACGAGAAGATACAAAGAGATATCAACATGTTTCATAACAGCAGGTACATGATATTTGAATCAAAAAAATCATTTCAAAGTTCAATATTAATGTGATGAATGAAAATCAAAAGAAAAATGATGGAGTAGGTATGAAGATTAGAGGAAAAAATATTGTTTTTGTAGGAGAGACAATCAACCAGATATGAGTATGCTGAAAAAACGATGCCACATAACTAATACCTGTAGGTAGGTACCAACAACCTAAAACAAATACTTATCAAAACATCACACAATAATCGGTTCTTCATTATTATGACGCTCGGCGCCATCGGATAATATGTTGAGAGATTGGTGCGTCGAAGGAAATTTAACATCATGACGAGAATATCCTTGGTAAGAGAGTAGAGAGTGCGCTGGTTGTATATGCGAACATGTACCTAATATACGACTTCCTGAGTTGAATGTGTATTTTACGCTCATTCTCAGAAAGAATGGAATATTCATACCCCCGTCGAATTCAAATATCATTTTCTGAATTGACTCGGCCGGAACTTGATGGAAATCTATACCCTAATAACACACTTATGTCCCATGAATATCCTTAGGACGTCCTGGCGGGACATTCAGGACGTCCATAGGACATTTGAATTTGGTACCGTGGACGTCTGTGGGACGCACAAATGTCTCACTTGAGGACCAACTAGGGACGTCCTTGAGGGATGTCCCTGGGACGACTATCGAATACCCTTATCTTACAGTATTCCTCATCGAGCACTACAGAGGACATCCTTAGGACATCCATAGGACAACCTATCAGCAACGCTGGGGATATCAATTTGATGTCCATAGGATGTCCCAGGGACGTACGAATTATTCTTGAATTTTGAATTTCTCTGGGTCCCTCTAGGACCAGATCTTGCATAGCTGATTAGGACATCCAGTTGAGTTGATGGACGTAGAAGGTCCCCAAAAAGTTTTCCAAGGATGTCCATGGACTCACGTGAAGGACATTGACGAGGAGTACTTATAGCCTACGAGCAATGATTCGTGGGCGAGGTGTAAGTTCACGTCCTCGCAGGGACAACATATTGAAAGTACCGACTGGGACGTCCAAAGGACGTTATTTCTAGGACATTGGTAAAGTACAGTTCATGTACATACAATTGGGACATCCATGAATATCCCTAAAGGACATTCGAAGGATGTCCCTAAGGGACATTTTGATTGTTATACGATCCTGGACATATTAAGGGTGTCTGTGCAGATATATTTGAAGGAATGTACCATCAGGGACATTTCATGGTTGTCTAGAAGGGACATTATATAAGATCTGAAGTCATGTCAGAATATGTACTACTCGGGACATCTGATGGATGTCCCTAAAGGAACGTTTCAAATCATATCCCATCAGGGACATGCTAAGGACCTCCTTGCATGGACATTCTACAATATGTACCACGTGGGACGTCTAAGGGATGCTATTTCTAGGATATTTGAAGTGATGTACCAGCTGGGACTTTCCGTGGACGTCCTTGCTCGGATATTGCATGAGATGTACGGGATGGGATGTCCCAAGGACACTTATTTCTGGTTCGGGACATTCGGACGTGAATTGTACCAAATAGGGACGTCCCTAGGACGTTGTGTGCTGTTAGGGTAGCAAACGACAAGATTTCCACATAATTCTTAATCACACGACATGTTTCGCTAACACATTAGCTTCGTCAGGTGGTACAATGAACTAAACTAACGTTGGCTTGCTTAACTTTCACATATCCTACATTCCCAACCTGGATCAGATTTACCTGTGAAATGGTTCGATAAACCTTCATTTTCGGAAAATAGGCACATTATCTACAATAAAATCTAGTGTACTGGATTAACTCGAAAGGGTTGATAGCTAATACTTATAACTATCTACTAAGAAAACAAATTCAACAGTGGTGAACTATTGAGGTCTAGTTGATCGTTGAGTAAAATGTTAAATTTTTTTAGTTTGTTGATTGCTAATGATTCAGAATGATTGAGATTTATTCCTTCATCTTCAACGTGTATAATTTCTGAATTATCATCCAAACATTGCAATATTAGTATATATATACATTGTATCATAATTGGCAAAATTAACGGATATGCAATATCTATCTCGAAAACGCTTCATTTCTCGAAAACAATTGAGATGCGAAAGAAGCCTCTGAATCAAACCTTCCTTCCTATTCAGTACCTGGAATAAGTCCTGGAATAAGGCGTAGGTACTACGGAAAATTTTGGGGGGAACAAAGAAGCCTCTATCCCCATAAACTTATCACCCGGTATCTTCCAGTGTGTACTGACCAAGGAAGATAAAATAATCAAACTTCGACCCTCCTCTTAGCTTTGCTACTGATCGAGATCGGACTCATATTTTACAAACTTTTTTTTATCAAAATGATGAGTTCTATCACCCATTTCAGTTTGTATCTCAATACCTGAATCACCCTGTATATTGCATTCATGTTGATTCATCCAGTCATTCAATATTGTAAAGGTTGTTTCTTGAAAGATATTGAACTTTGAAATTGAATAAAACACATGAAAATCGTGGTCATGGCCATGGTATTATCTTCATTGGAACGATTATTTTATGTCATTTGTGATTAAATATAATTTTTCCACCACTAGTTATAAAACATACAATTATTCCCCTTTTTTTCGAGGCGTTAAGTGTGTTTCACTACCAAGGTAGTTTTCTTCATTTTATGAACCACTAGTCAATAATCATAGTCACTAGATTCCGATTAGAATTGAAGAGAAGTGACACAGAACTAGAATGATTGAAATGTATTGCTAGTGATGAGAAAAATGTAATATACACCTTGGTAGCAGAGGATGTTATCACCACGGGATACCCATCGGCTGAAACTTCGGAATATAGTCTTGGTCCCTGGGTAATATTCTTTACTATCTTGGTGTATAAATAACTATTGTACCGCGGCTGGCTCGAATTCAATTCAATTCAATTTATTCAGAAAATAAAGTGTACAGATAATATTGATAACATATTACAACTCTTGGTGTTCCTTTTGGATCATAAGACTGCACCTAAGCATGCTGCATGCTTGTGTTGTACTAGTTTTCAATCCGCAAGGAGCATTCTAATTGTACAACTTTCATTTCTCGAGTCAGCTGCCTGAGTTTGCTAGTCAATAGAATAGTATGCTTCTCCCATCTCAAGTGTTGGTCTATCATGACACCTAAGTACTCTATATTATCACATTTTTCTATTTCAGGACAGTTGCATGCATGTTTCTTGATTTTGGCAATTATTTTCGTGAACTAAAATAGTATTCTTCCCTACTGGCTGATCATTTGCTGTTAATGAAAATGCTATATATTTGGTTTTCTTAACATTCAAGCTCAATGAGTTTTGGTCTAGCCATTTTTAAACTTGTTCTACTCCGTAATTTGTGGGGACCATTCGATCATCGAACGTTTCTTATAATAATTCTATTGTGTCACGCACTGTGTAGCATGTTGCCCCGTCTTGTTGAAACCTTACCTCTTCCACACCCAATTGAGGAACAAAATAATCAGTTATCATCGAAATATAGCGCTCTCCATTGACCGTAACGTTCTGACAAGGAACATTTTTGAAGAAATATGGGCGAAAGTTACCACCGACCCATAAAGCATACTCAGCTATTTCTTTAGGTGGAGCGACGTCTCAACAATATCTTTTGGATTCTCAACACTCCAGATACATCAATTTTGTTTGTTGACTTGGCCATTCAACAAAAATGAGCCTCTTCGCTGATCTGAATCTTGGGTAGACAATGAAGAACCGAACCATGATTTTCGAAGTGAATTTGCACAATTTGTAAGCGTTGTTCCGAAATAAGTCTATTCACGATGAGATGAAACAATAGACATCAGTATTCAAATATTGGGCCAATACAGAACGCTCACATTTTGTGCTACTAGGGGAAAATAATAATTCCGAGTTGCAAACACCGACATAAGTTACTAGACCGCGAATACCATCGATCGAACAGCAAGAGACCATGACTCGATGTGTTGAATGACAGTTTGAGAATTTCTGCGTATCGAGCGAAAGCGTTTTCAGGCGAGCTATTTGGACGAGATTTTCGGGCTGCTGGGATATGACATAAAGCGGTCTAGATAGTAGTTATGCCAGTGGCTATAATTCGGAATTCCGAGATACAATCCAAAATTCCCAGTTACAAGTCGAAATTTCAAATAACAACTCGAAATACCGAGTTACAAATCGGAATTCCCAGTTACAATTCGGAATTCTGAAATGGAATAAAGTGTGAGAGTTCTGCACTTGTGTAGATCTGAATAAGCATTTTTTATCTCTGTTACAGATGAGTCATCGATCATTACAGTCTGTAAGGAGTACTCAAGGGGCGTGGATGTGCATGGCTGTTGCATTGTACTTTCAAATATCTGCCGCCGAGTCAGCACTACTACTCCATCATCATCTCACGAAAAGATCGTTCTTCGATCTCCAATGCAAAGGTGTCTATGATAAAAGCATATTTGCGAGACTGGATCGCATATGTGAGGATTGTTACAATCTCTTCAGAGAGCCTTCTGTCCATTCATTATGCAGGTAGGTCACGTCATTTCACTAACAAAAATCTAACGAAAATCAGTGTCCCGATAATGTTTTGAGTATTTCATCCGGTAGATAATAGATATTGTATACAACTGATGGTTGAAACAGATGGGCAATTATGAAATTCTGTTCCATATATACATCACATTTATCTGATAAGTTGATAATTGGAGAGCAATAACAATTATGCAATGTTATCATAAGTTATTATACGGGTTAGGATCCTAATTTGTATACTTTGATAAAAACTGGTATGAAGAGTGGCTATCATACGAGATTTGTTTATGAAACGAATAGTTACCGATTAATTACTTATATCTCAACAAATTTTTTCTACGTTGTAGGAAACGAGTAGCAGTTATGATTAGGGGTAATTGAATATTATCATTGTTGGCTCTCAGTCGGTGAAATTTCGAGCATTGGTGTATCAGTCTTCTTTCCATAGTCAGAGATTATAAAAATATCTATCACCTTTGTTAGGAGGAAGATAAACTTTGCATCACCGCGATTATTTGCCCTGCGCGTGATAGTCCAGAATTGAATTTTTCAAAAATATGGTAAAGTATCGAATTGAAATATCTGGGTTTCTCTGGATGTGACTATTTGCATGCGAAGGCTGACAAAATTTTCGTTTGTAAAACAGCTCAATCTTCGAAACACTCCCAGACAGACCAAGATATTTCAGTATTGGGACAGTCATATCAGCAAAAATAAAGTGGTAAAAAGAGACTTTCACCTTGGCCTACCTTTGCGAATACCATAAGTCTGGATCCCGAAAAAATGTTGCCATATTTCCAATATGTTTCTTGTCATGCATCGTTGAATGAATGTTTATTTTATTTTTCCATGTCTGAAGTTTAAAAAAAAAATCAGACTCGGTATAGAATTTTCAATAATTCATAACGTCACCTGGTATTTTGGAGATTAGTACATTATACTATACGCAATACTTTCTACCCTAGGAATCATAATTTCGAAAAAAAATTCTAGTCCACTGCTGAGGCTGATATCCTGCAGGACTGTGATTGTTATCATTATCATAAGCAGTAACGATGTTCTGAGTATTCGAGAAAATTATGTCGCTTCATTGTTCTCGAATATGTGTTGCCGAGCAACACCACGAGGCCGTCAGGACGAGTTGTATTGCTGTACAGCAACACAATTGAGTTGACAATCAAAGACAGAATTATGAGAAGATATTCAGAACAGATTGGTATTTTGCTATAGACTATTTCACGTTCACGAAACATAGAAAGCATTTATTACTGAGTGATTCATTTTGACAAGTACAGCCATGATTATTTCAGGCCAAACTGACAGACTTTGCTCCGTTATCCAGCTCTTTTAAGCGAACCACATTACTCAATTAAACACCTTGGGACTTGCAAAAAGGTCCCATTAGAAACTAGTTGCTGAAGTGCAAACGTTCCCCACCAGTACCAGTACCATATGAGCTCACAATACTATCGGTAGTAATTCTATCAGGAATCAACGAGATTCATATGCTTGGTAACACCATCACGAGTCCGCAGGATGAGTGGTGTTACCTTCGACCATTTCCATCGAGTTCAAGATTCCTGACAGAATCTTGGATAGTATTGTGACCACGAATTGTATTCATTGAGACAATTCCACGATCTACATGGAACTGTCATCTCCATGTCATACCTGGTGACAAGATGATTTAATATTCGGATCGTGGTTGTCGTGACGACGTGGTGGAGACACGCCATTCATATAAGTCGTGGAATAGTCATTGAAGGTGGACAACTTTTGACGTATCGTTGAGATGCGTGTCACTCGCCCACTCGCGCCTCTACACTTCACTCTATTTTCGCCCTGAAGTTTACTAGTACATATTTTCTTTGTGGGAAGGTGCATACTGAGTATTCCAACAAAAAAATTTCTAATTTGCTAGGAATTTTTTTCGATTTTGAGTATCTACGACAAATAATCGTGATAAGTGAAGAAAGTCAAAATCACTTGACATGTTAATAACGAAAAATTCCTGTGAATCACATCATAATGATAAAATTTGTTCAAAGCGAGTAACCATTATCCACAAGAAAGGAGTTTTTTATCTCCTAGATCGCACGGAAGGGAATCCTTATGATGTTCGAAGAACATCGTGCGAAGGTACCTAGAAAGGATAGAAAGGTGAGGTAGGTATTTGAATGTTTCTTGAACTCCTGGAGATCATGAGATCTTAAGAATTCTTCTTTTGGCAAATAATTATGATGTTCGACATATAAAAAAGGGCAGGTTGTGGAGATGAGTATGTGGAGTGAGGAATGAAGTCAATTATGTTGGCTGTGGTTATCGACATCGAGAATTCGTGTGGGTTCCTTTATAAGCTGCTTTAAGCCGTAAGTGATGGCGAAAACTACGGCTTGTCTCCCAGCATCATTCGTTTTGCTGCCAAGCAGTGCTGTTGTGTATCTGCATTGAAATCGCCAATGATGATGATTTCTGCTGCTGGATGGTTCTGTTGAATTAGGTCAAGCTGGATCATTTGTTGTTAAGTAGAGACGACAAAGATATTTGGTCTGGCTATCGAGTTTGAACATAACATCGAATTTATTTAGTTCCAAAGTTTCCTCTCGATGACGTGAGAGATTCGTCTCAGAAAAGAGGCAGAGACCTCCCTTGAACTTGAAATTTTCGACTCGAAATTGTTCAAGGAATATGCCCTCAAGCTATGGGGATCGAGTCACGGAAGACCCCTCGGAACACCCTCTATAATAATTGCTATTCTGAAATATTGAGATTGTTATATCTACCAATGATAGTAATAATTCTAGATTACTATTCAAATGTGGAATCGGTGGTAAAATAGGAATACTTGGAACATTTTTCAGATACAAATACACGTGGCAAAGTTATTGTTCATGGTAGGGATATTCCAAAGAGACATTACACCTAGCATTGTTATGAATGCATTTCATCAAAAACTCTTGAATATAATTCCTAACTGCAAAAATATCATTTAGCAAAACCAACTCAAAAATGAACTCTTTGGTGGTTTTGTGGGGAGTTTAGGGGGTTGTTGTGGGGTGGTGGATGGAGAAAAAGTCTTATCAGGTACCTATATTGATAACAAACAGATCAGTACAATCATTCGCGCCTGTTTTCTGCGAATTTTTGCAAGTCTGACTTTCGTAATGAAAAAAAATTTATTGGCATCAATATTCAAAGTTGAGCAGTGATATCACGACATTTCGCTAATGAAATGGTTACTAAACTCGCGTTATATGGAATGGACGCCGTATATTGAATCGGTCATGTCTTTTGACTTGAAGCTTTTAATGCTATGCACGATACGACGTTTCAAATCGAAATCAGCTATAGATTTTAGGGGGTAATTTGAAAATATGAAGTTTTGATCCAATCTACCCCACAGTTCGAAGTATCCACATTCGACTGCCTACTTAGTATGGCAACTTTGTATATTACCTACCTTCACATAGTTTGGCAATATTCTATTTTCAAATCAATTAGGTGGAAGAGATAGTTAACTGCCCAATCGTCCCAAGTGTACAGTGTACGTTTTATCGTTTTACTCACGTCCGCATGACTACGACGGAAATAGAAAACTCAAAGGTAGTAATTATTATTCTCGAGAAATAACCATCTACCATTCTGGGATACCCGACGCACAGATGTCTGGGTGGAGATGATGACGATGTAGGAATTTGTTGTGGACGTAACGATTAATGCAGTCGAAGCAACAGTCGGCTTTTCTCGGATATCTTCAGTTTTTCTGTAGACAGGTTGTCTCCGCAATTACAATTACAATTATTCAGCGGTCGGTGGTCTCTGATACTCCGATGCGATAGTCTGATCATCAGTAGAAGGACGAAAGTGTCATGGTGATTATAAATGCATTAGCGGCGATTGTATCAATCCATTGCTTTATTCAGAATGTGTTCCCTCAGAGACTATATCATGATAATTGAAAATCACTCGAGGAAGTGGAGAAGGAATATTGTTATTTTCGAGTTTTTTCGGTATATATATGGTTTACTTTTTGAATAGGTCAATTCTTGACCAGAAAGTCATTGCAGACATTCGATCCAGTGATGCGCAACACGATATTGTTGTGGTAAATGATGTTCCCTCATAGTTTCTACGCCACTGATGAAATTTCGATTTCTCGCATCCATTGCTCATTTTTGTCAAAAAAATCAACTGAACTATGAAATGTACAAGTTTTGAGATAGTTGACTCAGGATATAGAAGCTTGCATATAAGCATTTTTCATAATTGTTGTCTTCAATTTTTCTGCAGACAGGTTTAGCGGTCGGTGGTCTCTGATACTCCGATGCGATAGTCTGATCATCATATGATAGTCTGTATCAGTCCATGCATTGCTTTATTCAGAATAATGTGTTCGCTCAGAGACCATATTATGATGAATGAAAATCACTCAGGATAGCTGAGAAGAAATATGGTTTTCTCACAATAACTCAAGAACGATTGAATATTTTGCATACAAAATTGGTATAAGTACGGTTAAATTTTCCTAATGGGTGAATTCTTAACCAGAAAGTCATGCCAGAAATTTTATCAGCGTTGCACGGGGGTTGTGGTAAATGCTATCTCATATTTTTTAAGCCACTGGTGAAATTTTGATTACTTGCATTGATTGTTCAATTTCGTTCAGAATCACCTCCAACTGAGCTAAAATGTACAGTTTCTGAGATAATCTACTCAAAATAAGAGCTTGCATAAGCATTTTTCATGATTTCACTCATTATAAAAATATTTCACTAGTGATGAGTAAATTGGATTAGACTCCATAGTACTCATTCCTAATTGAATAGAACTAGTTATTCAACGCAGGAAGGAAGAACGAACATTTTTGTGATTTTCTATTACTGGAAAATTATGAAAAGCATCCCGAAATCTGTTCATTCTAGTTCTAGCTCAGTCTAAGGTGATGCGTTTTTCTAACAAAATTGAATAGGGAATTTGAAAAAGAAATTAACTACTTGATCACGACATGTTCTTATCTAATTCTTCATCAAATCACAAGATTTATCATCCGTGGAGCGTTGTCGGTCGAAATTTGCAAAACCCTGTATAAATATCATAATACATTTTCGAACCAAACTCTGGTTACTCTACCGGATGACAATGAATTCAGTATTAGATGACTTTTCCACACATTGGGTGCTCGTATTTTGAACAATTTGCGAGACAAATGATTTTGTAAGTACGGCCGAAATTATTTTCAGAAAAATCGACATATCTCGAAAACTGTGATAGATAAGTTGACATAAATTAGGTAGAGTGAAGGTAACTCAGCCGTGTGCACGTGTAGATATTCCAAAATAGTACGAAATGTTCGTTCAAAATATTAAATTGAAATTTTTCGTAGCAGAGCGCTTCCGACTATATGGTCATCATCAGTGAGTGCCTGTAAGTGAGTAATCAGCTTTCAGCTATTGAAAATGACATCAGTGAAAATTGAAATTTATATTTTTTCAAATTCAAATTCGAATTTGAAAATAAGTGGAAGTTGATTCTGCTATTGAATGAAGACATCATCATGAAATTGAAAATTGGAAAATTTTGAATTTGAAAATCAGTAAAAATGAGGTTACTACTCGTCAGGTCGACAATAAGAAAAGCATGCTTAAAATGTTAATATTACTCAACTGAACCAAAGATATTTTTATGGATGATTTTCTTGACGAGTAACTAACCTCACTTTTACAAATTCTGAAATTCATATTTGGAATTTTTCAATTTCCAATTTCATTATGCTTTCCACTGCGACCCCAGATGGGTCTATTTTCAATAGCTAAAATTTGATCAACTTCCACTAATCTTCAAATTCAAATTCAACTTTTGCAAAAAATGAATTTCCATTTTCTGTGACGTCTTTTTCCATAGGTAAAGCTGATTACTTACTTACAGGTACGCACTGATGATGACTGTATAGTCGAATGCGGTCTGCTACGAAGAATTTGAATGAATAATTTTGCACGAAATACAGCATTTTGTACTATTTTGGCATGAATTAGCTTGTCTGAACTCAGAATCAGAAGATCATTCGAACTGTGTGGAGACATGTAGGTTTCTATTTGAAATAAGGAAGTTGGTGCCACCTTGTATAGCTGGAGGCGGCTGAAGGTTTTGTAATACTTCAGGTAGATGGAAATCGATTTTAACAGCAATCCCTTTTTGAGTTTTCGATCCAGCCAGTCGAACAACTTTCAATGCGTGGCCCACGTACAGGTACAAACTTTCATTTTGTAGAGTTGCTCCATATTCAGGGTCATTCATTTTTCCGGAAAGAACAGTATAGCTTTGATTTTTTCAATAAAACACCCTATATATTTTCTGACATGTCGGTAGAGCTTTTTTTATTACAGAAAGTTGCATCTTTGTCTGGAAATTGAACGATTTCAATTTCATAATAAATAATGTCATGACATTTTCATGGAGCTTAAACAATATATAAACATATTATTTCAATGCCCACTATGTTCAACACATATTTCATGGTAGATAGATAGATAGATATATAAAAAAAGTATTCAACTACGTTACACAAAGATATATGTTTGTAGCAGGTCAGATACAAGATACAAGAAGGCTTACAATTAAATTATATGATATGAAGTGAGGGTTCATAAAGCTGTATTTTGGTAAACTTTGATCATCATAACAACTGAACTGTTCTCTATCCAAATATGCAACATATATATATTCTTGAAACCAGAATAGAAGGCTGAATCGACATGTCTGAAAATTTATAGAGTGTAATATTGAAAAAATCAAAGTTTATCCACTTTTTGGAAAAATGATTGACCCTGTATATCGAAAAATTTCAAGGAATTGAAGTTCGTTTCAAACATATTTTTTATTCAACATTTTTCCATATCTCTGAAGCCCAAAGAGTTAAGGGGGGGGGGGGCGTTCCCACATCACCTTGTATAGAAAGGCAACATTGAGACATCACTTCGTATCGAAACGAAAAACTCATCAAGCATGAGTTGTCTAGAATCGCTATCCAGTTCTATATTTGAGATACCTATTCATAGTATAATGGCTGTGAAATATTTCAATTGCTGATGATTTCTCTTACAGGGATAAGTGTTTCACAACAGACATCTTCAAGGGGTGTTGTGAAACCCTTCAACTTTGTGACGAAATAGACCAAATCCAGGCAATGATCAAACAACTAAACGGGGCAGAGCCAGGGTTTTAGGTACACACGCACATTTTTTTTATTTTGCTTAGGCACACTAACTTTAATTTTAGTTTTCATTGTATAGAAGTTTTTACTTTCGCCAAATGAACCAATAACAAAATATCAGTACAAGAAACAAATTCGAATACAAGAAATATGGAAGAGTGAAGAAATCGATATAAAAGCTTCTATACATAGTATTTATTATTTTTCATGTTACAATTTCAAAAGGAGCAAGGCTTCACTGTTGTGTCAACAAAAGAATTTGAAAATGCGACAATCACTTCTTACAACCATGAAAAGAACATAATCTAATGTGATTGATTATCCCATTCAGGCTCTCACAGCCACCCTCATAAGGCGTTTTCGGAAACCTACTCGTGTTGACTCGATCCCTAACCTGCACGTTCGTTTACCTAACCCGAGTAACATACCCATGTTCGGAAACTTCGGTGTTACTTACTCGATCACTAACTCGGGTTCATGTTTCGCAACCCTGCTCCAAAGCAGGGTCAGCCAGAGTTACTACCTTAGATCATACTCTTACTACCACAGAACTACTCACGATTCATGTGTTTCTAAGGTCACTTCAGATATTATTTGATTTCATCAATTGAACAAGAAGTGAATTATGTTGAATAGCATCAGTTTGATGATGAAAATACACCAACATCATGAGCAGAATCAATATTCATCATTTCTAGAACAATAACAACGTGTATCTTTTAAGAGTTCAGTGGTATGTTTTTAAAGATATGGAGAAATTGATCCGAAAATATTGATATCTCATAGCAAACTGAAAAAATTGCATACGTGAGAAATCAAGAAGTTCTATTCGAAGAGGTATAAAGCTAACTCAATAAATACTGTCTGTAGGTTAATAAAATAGTAACCTGATAAGTTCGTAAACTATAATATTAGGATAAGTGATCCGACTGATCCATCACGTGAGCCGTTCAGATCGAGTCAATAACCCAGAGTAAGTTTCCGAAAACGCCTATAGAAAACTTGGAGGCGACGGTTTTGGCCGAGTGAAACCCTAATTGAAAGGCTTCTTAATCATCTCTCCATGTTCGAATATCAAACAAGCAAAATTGAAATGGACCTGAAAATTATAGAAGAGGAATAAACGTTATTTCGAATCGCTTGCTGGCTTATTATATTCAGCCCCTTTCCAAAGGGTTGTCTTAGAGGACTCAGAGGAGTATTCAACCCCTTTGACAACTATGTCAATATAGGTGAATCTCCAGTTTGCCGACTCTTGTTCATTTCGATAAATCCCATTTACTTTTGAAGTTCCAGCCACTGCTCCATTTGAAATTGTCGCCCTGTATACTTACCAGTTCCACACACAAATATGACGTTAATACCTGAGACATTCATACAAATTATACATCAATTTGCTTCATTTCTTTATGTTCAACAATTTATTCATAATGCAGTCCTGGATTTTTCAATTTTGATTTTTGAAAGTTGTAGAACTTCTTCATTTTTCAGGAGTCTATGAGTCGATAGCTCCAATACATTGGGAATTTTATTTTATTGCCAATAAACATTTTTTATACCCTTGTGTTGACATTATACGGCTCTTCTATTATTGAACATCTTTGAAGGGACCCGCACTGGATTTTTTTATGTACCATCAGGATGTTATCCTGATAATTTTTTTGCTGGGGTCCTGTTTTATTCGACAATTAGCTCGATTCTGATAACCCCTCATTGAATTCGATCAATTGATCAAAATATCCTTGTGTACTTACGTCGTTCTCCCAGTGAATGTATAATTTTTAATGACGATGATCACCATATTAATCACTAGGTATTCCAGCACTAGCAAGAACTATTTTTCTTTTCCTAGATACGTGTTTTGCTTCTGTGGTTTTTGACTTATGATTATCTACTTATATTAATAGGTACTGTCCTTAAGCATATCAATTAACTAGTAAGAAAACATATTAATACTTACAGGATATATCTTCATGAGTTATGAAGAACTTAAAGTAAATGAAGGAAACAATAGAATCCGACTTAAATATTTCCGTTAGGTATTGTGAAGCTTCAGGCTCCACCGGAAGTGACGTCGTCTTGATATTGGGTCTTCAATTTTTCCTTCACCATCCCTACACCAATTCTCAGGATCATGCTGATTTCAGTTGATAATATACAGGGTGTTTCCGAAACTGAGGCAAAAAACTTAATGGAAGATAGGAGATAGAAAAACAAAACGAAAGAAAAGAATACATTTCAGTCAGAAAAAAATGTTTTGGAAGGTATTGAGCCTCAAAGGTTGCCTGAAACTTTTGTAAATCATTGATCAGAGGTTGAAAGCCCGACCCAAGTGTTTGCTTTCGGCGAGATCACAGGCACCGGAAGTATCAATGACTTTCGCAATGTTGCTGGACGGCCAATAAGAGTTAGAATATATAGTTTGGCAGGGGGGATTCATCGTGTTATTTTGTCTCATTGAACACCTCATTTTGTTTATTGCCCCAATTTCGGAAACACCCTGATGTATATATCGCGTTGACTCATGAAGATATATTATTATCCAGTATAGGTATTCCTATTTCAGACGTTTATTCATGGTAATTGGTTTCCTTTACAATTATTCTTTTATTCGAGTAGAATATCGGTTTTTATAGTTTTCTGAAGATGCTAACGGAAGAGAGACGGAAGAGAACAAGCGTTAGGAATTGAAAAATAGTTCTAGAGAGTAGCAAAATACTGTAAGATATATTCGTGAAACTAGCTATCTTTGTACAACTGTTGAAAAAATCTGGACAATTCTACATCACTAGCGATACGTGAACTTTTTCGTTATTTTTTTGCCGGTTCACCTACATACCTTCATACTCACATACTAATCTGAATTTGGCTGGTAAAATGTTCTGATGTGGGATCGCTACCACTAATACGATCAATATTCATCTTATTGAAATTATCTCAAAATTGAAGCGAACAAGAAACTATAAAATGATTGATAGTACTATAGCGATGTACCAACGAACCCCTTCTTTGTACAATAACGACGAAAAGTTTTTTCAACTGGTTATCAACGTAGCCATCAAGTCAAGTCCCAGAACAAAATAAACGTTTTCTATAAAATGTCATCATTTGACAACATGTGCGCTTGGAATGTCCAGAGGACATCCTCTGGAACGTCCATGAGACATCCTCTATAACGATCATAGAAGGTCCCTGGAACTTCAATAAGACGTCGCCTGGAATGTTCATAGGACACATTCCGAATCGTATCCGAAACATTCTGAAGAAGTCCTTGGGACGTCCATCAGACGTTGTATTCATGAAATCTTATGAAATGATTATGAATTATCTATAGGAGTTCTCTCCGAGGTCCTAACAGTTTATGTACCAATTAGGGTGTTATACGATCCTGGAAATATTAGGGGCGTCCATACAGAGATATATAGGAAGAAATGTACCGTCTCGGATATTTCATGGTTGTTCTAGAAGGGGCATGATATAAGAACTGAAGTAATTCCAGAAAGTGTACTACTTGGGACATCCAATGGATGTTCCTAAAGGAACTTTCACAAATTATATCCCACCAAGGACATGCTAAGGATGACCTTGGATGGACAGTCTACTACATGTACCAGGTGAACCGTGGACATTTGAAATGATGTACCAGCTCGGATATTCCATTGACGTCCTTCCTCGGATATTGCATGGAACGTCCCAAGGACAATTATTTTAGTTCCAGGACATTTTGACTTGAATTGTACCAAAAAAGGACGTCCCTAGGAGGTTGCGTGCTATCACTCTTTTCCCGTGGGAAAAGTAATTTATGAAAAGTGACATTTTCTAACCCGTCAACAGGGATTAAATGTCGATTTTTTTTCCATCTCAGATAACACAATTTATTTATTTTCATTCATCGACATCAAAGCTTGCCATCCTATTTTTCCAGAGATACGGTTCGTTGGCACGTTGTTTATTGTACTGTCATACATTAATAGTTTATGTTCGCATTAACTTCAATTTTGAGATATTTTCAATAAAATGTATGGGGATCATGGTAGTGGCACAGTAGTTATAGCGATATCCCATCAGAACATCCAAATTCTAGAAGGGTTCGAGAAAACAAACGACCGATTATCATTTTAAAAAAAGGTTTCAGATAGTGGTCAAGAAATGCAGATTTTTTTGAAAGTTATACAAAAACATATTTTTCATGAGGCTTAAACTTAAGAGATAGGCGTATGAAATCGTTTTATGCATGGTGACCATCTCACTTATAGCCCTTATAGCCCTCGGAAGTGAATTGAATCTGAAACATCTCAAAATAAAACCCACACAGATGACCTTCTTGAATGAAAATAATAGGTAGTGTAGCAACTGCTTTCCTTTATTTTCTAATATTGTTTTCTCCTATAGTTTTCGTCGCTCAATCTCAATTGAAAATGGGTATGAAATAATTATAAGTGAAATTTCGAATAAGTGACGATTCATCTTATTGAAGAAATTACACTGGACGAACCAGTCTATAGATAACTTGTTCACTCTATATTTAATTGAAGAAATATTCTGAAAACCCATCAGATTCAGTTTACAGAAGGGCGTGCTGTATTTCTAACAATTCTCATATACTTTATGTTTTGATTTAGGTCAGAATGTTTCTCTACAAGAATCTTCAAGGGGTGTGTCGAAAGCTTGATGATGGTGGAAGACTGGCCGAAGTTAGAGAAAATGATTGATTATTTGGCTAAGTGAACTCTTTCGGAGCACCCAGCGTCCTATGAATCTAGTCGATGAAAATGTAACCAATGTATTAAATTAATTTATTTAAGGTGTTTTGACAGAAATATTTAGTACATTTTAAAGTTAGGTGGTCAATATTTATTTTATTTATTGTCGACATTCCAATTAAATAATACTGAATGACCAAAGATAGATCGAATTAGAATCTTGAAATTAACCGTAAATTGTCTTTGTCCATTTTACTCACTCTGGCGGCTGGTAGAAATGATTCACTTTTTGAAATTAAAAATAAATATCTTCAAATGTTGTCTACTAGATACTTGTATTAATAGTTTTATATGCATCACGGTGATGTAGTCATAAGGTTATATAGCTATTTATTAATTCCAAAATTATTCGAGGAATGATCCTGTTAAGAATATTTCCTGTAGTTCATTAACAGTAATGGAAAGCACATCCTCATTTTCGAGAAAGAAATAGTAGATTAAATTGCTTGATGTTGCTACATGGAAATATTCAGTATTTAGAAATATCCAGTATTCTTTTTTACGTTTCTATATATATATTTATATTTATCTCTATGTCAGTGGCAATTATTTTCCAAATCATCATTTAGTACTATATCAGTATTCATCAATCAGAATTGAACTTCAATAATGAGCAGATAAGCTATCAAATTCATTCTGGATTATTTTGTATATTCTATAGACCAACAGACATTATCAATTGTTTTATGTTCCCCCATCTACTTTTCATGATTTCAAAAATATAGCCTCTATTGAGAATCTATTTATATTCATACCATAATTTCAATTGGAAATAAATTGATATCAAACTAATGCAGGTTATGAGAGTACAGATTAGTAAAAAATGTTTTAATGAACCATATATCTCTGAGACATGTTGAATTTTACCTTGCACGGTAACACCAAATTTGAATAAAATATTTGGCATTTTAATGAATTTATTTCACCGTACCTACCTTTAGTCTTTTTTCAATAATTGGAAATTTTTCCCAACTCGACTATTCCTCAGAAATAGAGTGTATTTGATCGAAAATACACTGTGACCAAGATACGGCTCCACAGCATGGAGAAGTTGCTCATTTGGAGGATCTAATCAACAGCTTTCAAAATTTCTCGAAATTGCTTATATATGTATGTAGTCTCTCAGTTATATCAAAAACAGTGACTTTTTGGATAATCTATGATTTTCACTTCATTTTCGGAGAAGCATAGAGTCTCAAAACACTTCACCATAGTATCTTTTGATGAGATTCAACCTGGCGATATTTATTTCTCTATGTCATTCATATTCGGTGATCCACCGTCAACAATTTTTTTTTAATACGGCCCTCATTGTTTTTCACAGATTCTGACAAGTTCTTCATTTCGAATACAACCATGTATCAAACAATAAAGTGGTTTGAATGTATTTCGATCTAGTTTTAGCCATCATCAATGTGTTTTGTCCATGATTACAAGCATGATGAAAGGAATATTGAAGGGATTCTTTCAAACATAATCCTGGACTTGGATGTCACGCCCACAAATGTGCGGCTGGCTTCTGTTTGATGACTCCATTGATTTGCTATTTCATCTACTACCAATTGTTGCCTATATCCTTTTTCACCTTTTTCACCGTACTGATAAGTGCAGAAAAACCGAAATATGTGTCTACGGTCAATTCCTGATAGCACACACTCGCCTAAGGTCATCCTCAATGTGTCGCCAAACGCCTCTGGAGAGGACGTTCTATTTTCTACAACCAAAGAACATCATCAGGCGTAAATTTAGCGCTGTAATTGTCCTAAATGAGTTCTTTCAGTGACAGCCTGAGGATGTAAAGAATTTCGTGCCTACGGACGTCTTCAGATGACATTCCATGAAATAACGTGTCATCGAAGACAAAAGAAAGAAAAAGAAGAACTAGAATTGAGGTTATGTCTCATGATAGTCACAATTCATTGGATAGTCATGATTTGTTCAAGATACATCATAATATATTAATGATTATATCAAAATTATTAGAGTATTCATTGAATACCTTCATCAAACTTCTATTTCACAAAATGATTGCGAGAAGAACTTAATGCACAGAATTAAAAGATAACAATAACAAAAGGATGATAATCTCTGTTGAAGACATTTCTCTCAGGTAGCAAGAAACAATGGTGAGTAAATATATTTACTATTTAGTATACTAAATAGAATCATTGATAGTACCGGACATGAAATATTGATATATTCATATACATTATTTATTGTTTCAGGAGGTTATTGAGAACACAAACTTGATGATATCATCATTGCAAACATGTTTTATTCCGAGATAGCTTTGCTTCTTCGGAATCTATAAAATATTGTATGGAAGCTTGAACTTTCAGTATGAATTCAATATGCGTGGAAGCTCTACTTATTACCGATATACAGGAAGTCAAAGTTTGAGATTTTTCAGAATTTTTTCAGTGTTCTTCTAGTTTCCTTCTACAATATTAGAAATAAAAAATCGAAATTTGGTATAGGTACCTCTCACATCAGGAAGGATGAAAGAACTTACAGTCACTACTCCACCACCTAAAACCAATTTAATTTTGACCAGAGGTAATGGTCAAATGGACATGGATTAATCCGTCATCATGAGCAACATCTAGTTAAAACATGAAATCTGTGAGAAGAAAACAATGCTTATGTCAGTTCTCATCAAATATTGTTGGATTGTCTAAATTTACCTACCATTATGGTGAAAAGAAAATAACAGAATTGATATAAATACAAAAATTTGTATTCGCGAATAGTGCGGGTGAGTTAAAGTTAAGCTCTATGAGAGCCTCATACCTGTTTCAGAACTTTTTGTTTAATGAAGAATTTCCGAGAATACACATGTGTGGGTGTGATTTAAATTGTTCAAGGTTTACTCATAACAAATGACACTAGACAATAATGACATTGAGGACAAACCACAACATCGAAATTACAAACTTCAAGTCAAAATCATGAAATTCGAAGCGACATAGAACATATATAGAGCAGTATATAGGATTTTATCTAATTGGGCATCTACCGCTGGCGTCCTAGACTTGAAGGTTATGTGCTTGGAGGGTAACGAATCCATGGCCGTATATGTAATTAATCCATGTTTTGTTTTTGCTTTCGACATCTTTTCTCGAATTTAATAAAGTTGTTCTACAAATATTGTGAATTGTGGTATCAATGGACTCAGAGACAATGTGGAGTTTTATTGGATACCCTCAGTGCTTGTCAATCCCAAGAAAAAAAACAGTTTAGCCAGAAAAGAACTCCCTGGATCCTGGATCAATTTTTCATGAAGAACATATTCATGTGTCAGACACTATAAGCTGGAGAATATGGACAAATATGTTCAAAGCACTCCATTTCGAGTAATCCATATAATGATCAATATGTCAACTGAATTGAAGCTAACCCATAATATTCATGGTATTTTAGGAAAACCAGCTAAACTGTTTGAAAAGAACCATCCAGATTGAGTGCCTTCCGTAACGTTGATATGGGTTATCAATCTAGGTAGGTATGCAATAAGATCTTATCTTCAACTTGTTGGTCAAGATCAATTAGATGTGGAACTATTAGATAATCTCGATCATCTCCCACAATGAGGAACTTGAAATTTTGAGGAAGGAAAAAAAAATTGTATATAAGTAGAAACATGAGGTGGAAGAAAGAACCAAGATACTCGAATTTGATGTGGATGGATAAATGTACAATAAATGAAATCAATAAATGAAATTTTTACCTAATAATTCATCTCATTAATTGAAATCTGTACCTTCATAGGGGCTCCGAAATATGAAGGATAATGATTCAGGCATAAATCGAACTTTCTTGATCTTGGTAGGTATTAGTGTTAGTTCAATCAAATCATGCACAAAAAGGGCTTGAAGTGGAAAGTTCTGGTGTAATTAATTTCATTGGTTTATAGTAATGTATGCTCTTTGATGTGCTCAACACGAATCTGAAGTTGTCCACCAAAAATTTCATCGGCAAATATCAGAAAAAATCCAAAAAAGCATAAAAAACATGTTTTTCAAGGGTTTTCAGCTCTCAACTCGCAAATTAACTGGTGCATTTGCAATGGAATTCAGAATAAGTAATGAAACCATCCCAATTAATCCTCCGACTATTTTTCAAAGTCTCACAATTGCTAAACAATCTGACGAAGAACTCGAAGAGTTCTTGAAATATGAACTGTGCCCGTATCCGTTGCTCCTTTATGATGACTATAGAATGAGAAAAGGAATCAAGCCTGTCTTATACAAAGTATATGTACACCAACTGAACAGACAAATCTTCAAGGGTGTGTGTACGTCATAGATGGAGGAAATCTGCTCCACAAGGTCGTGTGGACCAGGGGTCAATCATTTTCATCAATTTGTAATCAACGAAATTTTGGACAAGGCGGCAACACTGTCAACCGAGCGAGGCGATGACGAGAGAGGAAGATGGGACGGCGCATCTCTGAATTCCTTGGCGCGTGGATAACAGGCGATGCGGCATTAGGCCGCATTAGTCTAGCGAGAACAATCACAGGCAAAACTGTAGTAAATACGTTCGGCGAGTACCTATTGTTTCAATTTGAGAATATACGGCGATAATTGATTGAAAAGGCGTTTGATTAATAGGAGTGTAACAGTTCAGAAGTTGGGATAAGCAACTTACGTGCTAGTTTGGTGATTTGGCGTTAAATTGTTAATTTGTTAATTTAAAAGTGCGACGAAGTTTGGCGTGGGTGTTTGATCAGCAAGATGGCGGAACAAAACAAATTTCAATTTGGCGTTGGTGATGATGTGCTGGATTTCGGCGAGGATGAATCCATTGGCGATCGTTCGAGTCCTGATGCGGGGAGGAACCCTGAAGGCGTTGTGATGGGTAGAGATCTGGCGCAAACGATTCAGGAGATTGTGGCCAAGCAAACGGCGGCGGCGTTGGAAAAATTGATGAAAGATATGGCGAAAAATGATAAGGCAGGCGGCCAAGGCGGTAGTAGGCAGGTAACGCAATCAGGGCGTGGTGCTCAGGTGAGTGAGACTGTTAGGGGCGATTGTGGCGAGAATAGAGGCGAAGCAGGTGGTCGTGATTCTGCTGTTTCGGGGGCTGGCGGCAGCCGGGCGGGTTGCTGTTCGAACCCGGAACGTGCAAGAGGGGAGGCGAGGGCGACGGGCGAAATTTTGGAGCCATTCGATCCTGACAACAAGGATTGTAATGTTGAGAGGTGGCTCAATAAAATTGATCAGCTGGGGGCGATTCATGGCTGGTCGCACTACGAAAAGGCGTACTTCATGCAGTCGAAGTTGAGGGGGGCGGCTCGGGGGTGGTTCAATAGGTTAGATAAATACGATCTAACCTGGGACGAGTGGAAGGCGGACTTGAGGAAGGCGTTCCCTCGTCAGCATGATTTTGCAGAGTCGTTGGGGGAAATGATGGCGAGGGTAAAGTTGCCAGGCGAGAGCATGACCCATTACTTTCACGATAAAATGGCGTTGTGTGAAAGATGCGAAATTGTGGGTGAAAAGGCGATATCGTGCATTATTAAGGGGCTCCCTGTGGAGCTTCGGGGTAATGCACGGGCGTTTAAGTGTTCGACCCCGGGTGAGTTGTATGGTGGATTTCTTTCGGCGTTTGACGCTTACAAGGCGACGTCGCAATCTGTGCCAGACCTGAAGAGGCGTAATTCAGGGACGGTGACAGATTCGGCAAAGATGGCGAGAGCGAATTACAGGGCGACCGAGGAAAGTGGGCGAGAGGCGGGGGTGAGGTGTTACAATTGCCAAGAATGGGGCAATCATATCAGCAAGTTCTGTCCTAAGGCGAAGGCAGAACGATGCATGTTATGCGGACAGGCGGGACATGAGAAGGCGAAGTGTCCAAGGAATAGATTCGGCAAGGCGAAGCCGAATTATCAGGTGAGGTTGGT